GGAACATGCAAATGAAGCCTGGGATATTTAAATCCCAGGCTTCATTGCAAGTTCGAATGCCTACATTAGCCACCCTAGTTTGAACTAGGGTGGCAGTGCAGACATACCCTACTGCAGTCTGGAGGGTGCGGAGCTCGCTCCCTTCCTGGAAACTCTCGGCGGCGGCGTGGGGCTGAGCACAGCTGGAACGGAGCAAGTTCAGGGACTTAGCTCTTGCCCCCTCTCCTCCGCTGCCGCTTGCAGGCCAGTGACTCGGTTTCCCCAGCTGGCCTGTTGCCGGCGGCTGCACGGGGCTTCCCCCACTTTCCTGCAAAACAGCAGAGGGTTCGCCCCTCGCCGCACCGCTCCCCGCCGACCCCCCTTTCTCCGCCGGCCGGCAGACCCGTCACAGCCCCCTCGCCGGAGTACCTCCTGATACTCCAGCATATCCAATAATACAGCACCCTGTGGGTCCCAAAGGTGCCGGATTATCGGAAGTCTACTGTATATTAGATTTGGCTTAATACTTCTCCTTCAACAGCCGCGAGTGCCATGGGGCTCACAGCAGCTCCAATTGTCTGGCTGGCCGGAGCACTTCCAGGTTCCAGTTGGTGCTGGACTATCGGGAGTTACAGACCACTGGATGCCAGACAATGGAGTTTTAAGGTACTTCTTGCCCGGAGGCTTGCCTTCTTCATAAACATTTCTTCCTGGTGCTCTCCACAACTAATGAGTCAGGACCCTGCAGGATCTTTTTTATTCCTTGCAGTGTCAGAAGGCACTTTCCAGCAACCGCCTTCAATTGTGCATTGGACTCCACTCTCTTTGGAAAAGGCCAATCATGCTGTGACAGCGAGTTTGTACAATGGGAAGCCACAGGGCTCGCCAAGTGGTGGCAAGTCCCACTTGCCAGCCGCGTGGTTTCACACCATTCTGTGTTCTGTGCATGCGCAGATCGCTCTGTGCCGGCTCTTCCAGGTTGTAATCTACTCGCCACGGGTGAGTAGATTACATTATTTGTCGAGCCCTGGGAAGCCATACCTCAGTACATTACACTTGACTACTTTTTGTCATATAGCATACATAAACTTCTTCATTCCCGCATAATCCTTAGTTTTTTCATACTGATATTGCAAATTTGAACCTGTCTTCTTTCAGTGAGTGTTAATTACTAGCCTATCAGTTCTTCAAAAAGAATATAATATTATGGAGGAAACTGCTTTTACAGGGAAACTCAGCAGAATCCTAGATTAATCAGTTACAGCTGATGGTTCATACAATGTCATTTTTAATCAATTTCCTAATCTTGTGCCAATAATTTCTAATAACCAAGCATGCCCAGCATCAATCCCACTGTTTAGCTCAGTTTCTTCATCTTCCTTTCCAGTTTAAAAAGAAACTAAAATTAGGGGAGTTTGGTACCAGTGAAAGAAATAATATAATAGTTCTGTGTAACACTTTCTGAAATAGAGAATGATGAGCTTTCTTCAACTTGATGATACTGTTCTCTCTGACTTACTTTTGAATAGTGTGCTGGTATCAAGATGAGTTCTCTTTTTTTCCTCTTTTCCTGATATACTTTTTAAAAAATAACTTTTCTACAAGAGGTGTGTATGTTAAAATCAAGGTTTATCATCCTTGTAAATCCATCAATTTGAATACTGAAAGGACAGCTTAAAAAGGAATGACTGAATCTTTTGATATATGTGTAAAATAAAGATTAAATAAAAATTGTGTAACCTTCTACAAGTCTTCATTAAATACTTTCCGGAGAAACAATAATACAAATAATCTAACTAACCCAGATGCCTAATCCTAAAAATATAAATGCCGCTGTGTTAAACTAACAGATGAAAATGGTGGTAGTTGATGTAAATTTGTCCACAAGATAATAAATATTTACTTTTAATAACTGTAATGACATGTTCTCTGAAATATAGGTTTTATTACTACAGTCTAAATCTAAATGATGAGGAATTTGAACTGCTAATTAGAGGGCTGAGCAACACTAATATTATTATTTATATATCAGCAACCACACAAACATCATAATGTTAAAAACCCAGGAAAGTGTTATGGCTACTGTCTTCTTTTCTAGATTGTTTGTAACAAATGCTTTTGGTAAATAAGTTACATTTATAAAAATGCTTGAAGTCCAAGAATTACTTCAGGATTCTTTTGTAATCTATGTTATGGTATTTTTGTTTATCTGTGTTGAGGGATGTGTACTTGTATATGCCAGTTTGTGTGCAAAGTATCCATCTACAGTAGAATATATGACTTACCAATGGTTTTGGTGAGGAATATATATGCCCACAACTTTCTAAAAAAGCAGGTGAATCTTTTATCATTTCCAAAAATCTGCCAGCCATGCCCACCAAGAGCTCAGTCTTGCTCCAGTTAAAGTCAATGGGAATTTAACGTTCACTTCAGAAGGAACTGAATCAAATCTCTAATCTGGAATTTTCTCAGTCTGAGTAGGCAATCATTACCATAGTAACAAAATGCTTTCTATAATATCCAAATCCCAAGACAAAATTTCCATTGAAATCGCTACAAGTTTTGTTTGAGTGAAGGCTAGTTTATCTGACTTTATATAAGAAAATATACAGAGGGCTGTGAAATCAACTCTCCTCTCTACCTCCTACTTCAATTACACCTAGAGAGTATATTAAAATGTATATAGAAGTATATATTTATTTTTGCTTTATTTGATTTTTCCATCTTTATGAAACATGGTAAAAACTAAAAAGACATAAAGACATACTGGTCAGAGTGATTTAAAAATACATGTATATCTCACAGCCTAGTAATTCTGTATACAATATGAAATAAATAGTTAAACCTTTATGTTGTTAGTGGAATTGTTTTCTGGCCTTTTAAAGATTATTTTTAACTACGTTGTGTCATAAAAAAGATTCTTATCTAATGGTCTTTTAAGTGGGTCCTTCCACAACTCATTCAATGTTTCTTAACCTACATGGTACTCGCATTTAAGTGGTAAGCATGGTTTTATAGGATTGTCCTTTAAATGATTTATTGACCTTTTTCAGAGAATGATGTATCTCTGAAAATTCAATAGCTATGAGCCTTGACTTTCATTGTGCAGTCCGTTGAATGTGAATGTTTTACTTTAGCTTGTTTCTATGTTGGTTTACTTGCCTGTTGCTAATTTCTGTGCGCAAAGTCTTCTCTATGAAACATCATTTATATAGGATTTAGGAATTTAAAGTTTAATCTGAAAGAAGTAGCTTCCTTTATATCTATCTATCTATCTATCTATCTATCTATCTATCTATCTATCTATCTATCTATCTATCTATGGTCAGATGGCATGTTCATTAAAATGATGTTCATTAAAATGAAATCAAATATAGCAGTATGTGCACTAGCATAAAGTCAATTGAATGTAATAAGTATATATAGTCTTCTTCATAGGGTCTACTTTGTAGTATACTCATTGCTCATAAGAAGCGGCATCTACCGACTCATAATTAATACATCTTATTTTAATAATATCAATATTTTTCTTCAAATGAATAATTTTAAGAGTGAAAGTATTTCATAGACAACCTTTCCTTCCAATTTGCAATTAGAAATTAGATTTAAACATTGGCTTGACAAATTCTTTCTAAATGTGATTTTAGATATTGTCTGTCTATATATTTTTGATTGTCTCTTCATCTTGCTTCATTTCTTGATCTTTCTGTTATAAAACAACCTTTAACTCTGAAAATGTACTTCATATTTGAAATTGCACTTTCCTCAAATGGGTTCTTGTAGTGTCACTGCAGCTAAGCTATGAACTTGGCACACAAAGTAAAAATGTATGTTGACATCACTGCAGGGTTACTATTTGTAACAATGGCTGGTGGAGCAACAGGAAGCTGAGTTAGATATCTCTGCTGATTAGAATGACCTTGGAGTTCACAGTTAAGACTCCAAAAACTAACAGATGCAGATGTAGGTATGTTTAGTTAGAAGAACATTTTCTCTTCTCATACTTTGCACCTACCTGAGAAGAATCATTTTGTAACAGCTAATTGCTCAGTGCCCTGTCCTGTAGTCCTTCATTTACAATTCCCATCGACTTCACTAAGAGTTTGGGTTGGAAAGGAATGCAAGACAGTGAATCCTTAGTGTGGTATCTTTTAAGGTATGATTTTGAATATATAGAAATTACTAGGTTTTTTTTTTTCTGGTCCTACTAAAATGCCATCTCTGCTTGTACCTATTACTCCACTAGCTATTCTAATGTTAATAAGAAAACTCCTAAGATTCTGCTTCCTATGAAACACACTCAGGGCCTACTTTGACTTGCTTTACTCATAAGAGAAGTGCTATCAAAGTAAATGGCTCTTCTTGTGTGAATAGGACTTCATTACAAAGATGGAACATCCCTCAATAGAATTTTAAATCACTTCAGTCCTATGAGTGAAAACTAGAGGGCAGGGGAGATGGGGGCACGGCGGTTACTGAAAGGGAAAACAGGATTCTTTTTTTGTTCTGTCAGAACACTGAAGGCATAAACTACACTTTGTGTCCCTTGCGTATTATACATGTAGAGAAACTTTGAAGGTTTATTTGATAGTACTTGGTTTGAAAATTGTTTTCAACTGCCATTCATACTCACAGGAGTGGTCTTTCCTGAAGTAGCATTTGAGAAAAATAAAATAAATTGACCTAAGGTAAAAAAAAAAATTGCAAAGTATGATCTACAAACATGCCATCCTTTAGCTACTTTACTGTACCCAAGTATTGCAGCTGCTAAAAAAATTGCAGCTTCTTCTATTTGGAAGCTTTTGAATAATGAATTATCCTAAGTATCATAAAAGATGCTATACCAATCAATACACAAGAAAGAAAATTAAGAATATAGACTAAACTTTCATCAGTTTAAAATGATCTCTTAGCAGTGTGTAATATTTCGGGCTTTGTTAGACTTTACAATATTATATTCTATGTTATGCCTGTGTTTTACTTAGCGGCATTTTTAAAACAACTTTTTTCCTTCTTAAAATTTGCAGTACTTCTTTACTGTTATATTTGGCCATGAAGGGCAGAAGCCATTGGAGCTCCGTTGTGAAGAAGAAAGTGATGGAGATGAATGGGTAGAAGCTATCCACCAAGCTAGGTATGGAACCTGCCCCTTAATTTATTCTAAATTCCACTTTTTGTTTTTAAGAAGATGGCAGAGATTTTAAATCTAAATACCCTCTCTCAAAAAAAGAAGGTAATTTAATTTAGGCATAAAAATGGGGAGAGTAAATTATAATTACATAATAAATATATTTTAATAAATAAAATCCCTGTCCTAAAATTTAAATCCAAAACACTTTCCAGTGTGCAAAAAATGGAAGCCTTGTAGACCTGACTATATTACAACTTTCTATCCACCTTCCCTCAGAAAGGGCCTGGGTGAGAGAGATGAGGATTGCAGCTTAATATGAAGGTCAGCTTTCACATTGACAAGAAGAAGATGGACTCTAAAGTGCAAAATAAAATTATTGAAAACTGATACCTTAATAGTTATTATTTGTAATTCTTGTATCTCTTTTTGATTCTACTAATAATATCTAGGATGTTTCCTAATTGATTTCCCCACAAATACAATATACTGATCCATATATTAAATTTAATTATTGGGGTATGGTATTATTAATCTGACAATAATTAAATGTAGAAAATAAACACTGTAGAGGGGAGTGTCCATATTTTAAATCCTTTTCATAATCCAGAAAAAATGTGTTTTTTTTATGATAGCCCTCCAATTAATTTCAGTCTGAGCTTGTTTTCCATGTCAGCAATATAATAGTCATCATCAGAATTGACCCTTCCAGTATGTGACTCATTATAATTAATTGAATTGACAATTAGTATATATACAAAAAGAATAAAGTCAGAAATATGCATATTTTTCTTTTTAAGTCAAAATAAACTAAGAAAATTATTCTTTATTAAAGATTGTTGCAAAATAAGAAGTTTAAAAATTAAAAATATATTTAGTCAGAATAGCTTGGTATTGCCCTTTCTATATAAACCCTTGATGAAAGAGCAGAAGGAAGTTAGGCTATGTCTACACCGTGGAGCTATTTTGAGATACTGAAATATAGCTATTCCGTGTCTATTCAAGCAGCCTGTTATTTCAAAATAGATTTTGAAATAACCGGTGCCTTATTCCAATGTCCCTATAACCCTCATTCCACAACAGTTAAGGGACATTTCGGAACAGTGCTTTATTTCAAAATTAACTCAAAATAAGTTACTCAATTTGCATAGCTCAAATTGCGTAGCTTATTCGAGGTCAGGGTGCTGCATAGACACACGGTGTTCAGCATTTTGAGTGAGTTTTAGACAGAAATAAATTCTTCAAATATAAAAGCACATACTAAAGATTTGGTGCTCACTTGTGCAGTCTGACGATGTGCTGGCAAAATGCTTAAGCAAGTCCTTTACTTTAAACATATGAGTGCTCTCAGACTTCAGTGGGACTATTCATGTATTGAAAGCCAACCACACATCTAAAGATATACCTGTGTTGGCATAGTCATGTACAGACAGCCTGCTACACCAACAGTAGGACATTTCTGTTGCTGGAAGAATACCATATCCCTAAGCACAGGTGGTAATGTCAAAGGTAGCACTCTTCTGTTGGCTTAGCTATATCTACACTAGGGTTTTTGTAATGATAGTTATGTTGGCCAGATGTATGGGTTTTTCTCCACATTCTGACTGATATAACTATGCCGATTTATCTTTCAAGTGTACACCAAGCCTAAGTACTTTGCTAGATCAAGGCCGTAGTGTACAACATCTTACAGAATCCAGCTTTCTGCACATCCCTATTTAAGTGAGGTTGAATCACATAAAAAAACAGTCATGTGAAGAGCTTGTGTAGGAAGAACTCATTTGAAAACATGACACCATAACCATTTTTTTTTAATCCAGAAAATGAGTGTGGTAATGCCTGTAACGGTTCTCATCACAACATACGGTTTGGCTTAAAGATGAAATCTCTTGACAGAAAGTAATATGGAGCAGGAATAAACTACAACAAAGGAGTTAAAGAAAAAACAATCATGGCATAATTTCTGGATTAGTTTTTAAAAATACTCTGTTGATCTCTCAAACTTTTTAAAGAATAAAATATTAAAAATAATTTGGTTTTGGTTTTTAACTACCATAAATATGGGAGAAAATCCTCTGATGAGTAAGGGCATGTTGCCAGAGTGATAGGTATAGATGGATAAAAATAGTTCTGGAATGAATTTGAAATACCGATAAGCAGAATATGAAAACAAAGATTAAATGAAAAAAATGTATAAAGTTCCTGGGCTAGTCCTGAATATAAAGAGCTCATATAAATGACTCTGAGATTACCTCTCTCTGTGATTGGGCTAACAGAAACCTGCAGTCATGATGATACTGAATTTTACACTATGTAAAAATACAGAATATTAAAATATAATTACACATTCAAGGTTTGGCTGCTTTATGATTAAACAATAAATGATATATTAAGCAAAAGGAACAGAATATTATAAGGTTTTTTTTATTAATCACACAAGTTAGGTTTAATTTGTCAATATTATGCAAAAAGATACACAAGTCAGTATTTGTCTTATTTACTAATTAACATTTTTCTCCCTAGTTATTCAGACATTCTGATTGAGAGGGAGGTCTTAATGCAGAAGTACATTCATCTAGTTCAAATTGTAGAGACAGAAAAGATTGCAGCCAATCAGCTTAGACATCAGCTTGAAGATCAAGACACAGAAATTGAAAGACTTAAATCTGAGGTATTTGCAAAAGTTAACATTACTAGAGTGTCGGTGAATTGGTATATTTTGATTACTTTGTTACCTCTGTTGCATAATGTCCATATTCCTTGCAATCTATGTTGATCAGTGAGGAAATACTCTATAGGCTCAATAAAAACACTGGGGCAGAATTTTCTTTTTAAAGCTAATTACTTAGTGATTATTTAGCGTATTCAGCGTCTTTATATTCTCAAGGTGACAGAGTCTGGAAGAAGTACTCAGCCTCTGGAGGAGGAAGCACATCCTCATGCTATTTATGTACCCTGTGGCTTCATCAGGCACACCACTGTTCATTTCCAGAGAGAGCTGTTTCCTCCTCACACAGAAGAACATAATGCAACTGAAAGAGGCTCCTAGAAGTTCCTTGAGAGAGAACAAAGTCCTATATATTAGATATTGTAACTGAACATTTCTAAAATATTGAAGAAAACATTTATGTTTTTATTGTTTTTGTCAGATTGTAGCTCTCAATAAAACTAAGGAACGAATGAGGCCTTATCAAGGCAACCAGGAAGATGAGGATCCAGATATAAAAAAAATTAAAAAGGTAAGTTGTCATGTATCCTGCTTGAAAAGGAAAGATAGAGAAACATGTATCTGTGTGTATTTTATTATCTGATTAGTTTTGTTTTAATTGTTTCTTTGTGTGCTGCACCCAAATGTGGACCTGAGCATTCCACCTATCTGTATCTGGACTAGCTTAGTCTCAGCAGCTTTTTAACATTTCAGTGGTAAGAAAGCAGAATATCCAGTTGCAAATATACTTCATTTTATTTGCTATGTATATGTTTATATTTGTCACAAACTAGTTAAATAGATCTAATATTGTTATAACTATGAAGTGGTTAGGAACATTTGGACTATCCTGGGCTATTTCCTTGTTGGTGAAGAAATATGTGACTATGTTAGTCACCATGGGTATGTCTACACTACAGCACTATTGGAATTAACTTAATTCAAAATAGTTAATTGGAAATAAGCTAATTCGAAATAACGCATCTATACACAAACTATTTTGAAATAGCGTTTTGCTGTTTTGAAATAGCGCATCCACACTGAGTGGACCCTGAACTGAAGTTAAGGCTGGCCAGAACCAGGGCCGGCAGGGCATCAGGTTGGGACTTAGTGTGTGGGGCTGCTGCCTGAGGCAAACTGAGCTCCGTGCTTAAAGGGACCCTACACCCACCCTGGACAGACAGTTCTCCTGAGCTTCCCCTCTCCCTTCTTCCCCTTGCTTCCCCCTTCCAGCTCCCTCCTCCCAGGTTTCCCCTTCTCCTCTCCCACCCTCTCTCTTCCCCTCTCCCACCTCCTTCTCCCAGCTCCCCAGAGGTCCATCCTCCCCTCCCCCCCAGTTTGGTTCAATAAACCCAGTTTCTGTTTTTGAACATACGTTTCTTTTATTTGACATCAGGAAGGGGGGGCTAGGGTTGGGTAAGTGGAAGGACGTGAGGGAGGAATGGGGCACGAGCCCCCAGTGGGGAGGACCAGGGAGGCTCTGAGGGATGGACGCTCTCCCTTGGGGCCTCCTGGATCCTGACAGCCCCCCGATGGACACCCGGATTTCAGCCTGCAGCAAGTGCAGCCGGTCTGATGGCAACGACACCACGAGATACACAGGCGTGCCCAGGGGCAGCTCTGGCTCCATGTGGCTTAGTGCTGTGGTGTCCCGAGTGCGGGCACTCAGGGCACTCCAAGACAGGACTACTTTTCTGTCCCTCATTGAGGTAGACAAGCAAGCAGGAAGGCACCTGCCTTCTCCAGCCCCTGTCAGGTTCCTGGGAGCTGGCAGATTGCTCCTGGGGAGTGGTGGAGGGCTGGCTGCCAGTGGCTTGCTGGCTCATGTTTTGGGGCCACTGGGTCAGGGGCCCTGGTGCCCACTGCTGGGTCTGGGCTGGCAGGTTTGGAGCTGGCACAGGCACTGTGGCCAGGGTCTACCCCTTTAATGGCTCCCGGGCTGGGGGAGGGGGGAGG